GCTGACGCCAAAACCGCCATAACTGATCTGATGCACTCTCGGACTAAATTCGTCTCTTGTCAGAGACAACGTACAACAGCTGCTGGTTTCAGTCTCCTATACTTTTATGGTCAAACACGCTTTTATTCCTCTTTAGTTTCGAAGTGCTGAGGCTAAAAGCGGCATAAATTACGTCGTCTGATATACAAGAATTGCTACGTGTTACTGGCATGGCAAAATCAATATCTTAACTGCCAGCGAAAATTTTGGTTTGGCGTGGTGTAAAGTGCTTTCTTATGAATTCAGCTCTTCGTTTTCTTGTAAAACTATACGATGTCAATAAAGAATTACATGCTGTGTCTGATGCTTTCGAAAAGCACGAATCTAAGGCGATGTGAAGTTATTAATTTTCGCCAGACAAGTTGAAGCACATGTGTATTCAAAATCGGTCGACAGAGGATAACGTTCGAAATAAATAATATGAACGATCTTTGAGACACAGTCTACTCACCACAGCATTACAGGCTAAACATTGTTGAACAGACATAGCAAGGTTATCTTCAACTCGCTTGCAGTCGAAACCACTGCTTACTTTCGCGATTGTAGCGGACCCGAGTCGCTCAGTGGGTATTTCAATTCGTGAATGTTTTGACCTGACTTCGTCCTTGCGTGGAGCGGATGGTAACACAACGTGTGACGTCACTGAATTGAAAAACAACGCACGGAATTAGTACGATCTTTTTATTGCATGTAAATGGAAATCTAATTGCGGATAGCTCTGTTAGACGCGAGTGGTTGATATTCATGAAATCCAAGAGACAAGAGACGTGTTTGCTTCTGCATCAAATACTCATTATATCTCATGTCACGTTTGAACTTAAGTTTTCTCTCCTCGCAGAGCCTCACGTGCATGAACGATCTGTGAGTTGTGTAATGTTATTGCACATTACACATTAGCAGATATTTTGTTGCCACGGTAGCATGCGTCTACCCAACTAATCAAAAATAAGGGATTTTTATTTAAAAGAAAAGATAATGGTTAATTACGTTAGGGGATGTCTTAAGAAGTTTTTGCTGGAGAGATCTCTTTTCAAATTTAACGAAACCGTCAGCTTTCGGCTTTTTCCACAAACTATTTGCTAAAACTTTGATTCTCAATTTCTCTCTTTTCTGTCACATAGAATTCTTATTATTTAACCTTTGAAGAGGTACTAACTCATTAGTAGTAATTTGCCGAGCATAGCGCTCTTTAGCGGCATATGTTAAGACGCTTTTAAACACGAATACCCATAAGACGTACCTTCCCCGACCCAGGTCACTAATAAGAATACACTTAATTGGATTTACTTATCTCTCAATTTTACTATGAGGTTAACCATCTTCAGATATGAAGGCCTAGATCCTTCTAAGAATATTTATGCGCTGCAAGCAAGCGTGAATTGAAACCGTCATTGTCAGTAACTTGCCTTGAGGTTTAAGTAATTCTCGTCCACACAATGCTCATACACTGACATTGATCCATAATTGCATGGAAGAGTGCTCATTGCACCAGAGGAGTCAGAGTCTATACAGGAGATTATAGTTATAGTCTCTTGATCTAAATTAAACCAAAGGTTATTAAATGATAGACCATATTACCAACTCAATCAGACTAGAGTTGAATTTAATTAACAGTTTCAGCTTTGTAAAAGAGAAAACATGGTTTGAATAACTTCTCTTCTTTCAAATTTTGACCCTGTACTTTCTATACACGTTTGGAATGGTAGACCCGGCCGAAACATCTAGAAACAGTATCGAAAAATTTCCCAAAATATGTTTAGTAATATACTATAATTTTTTTTTATTTTTTAAATAAACTTAGGGCGAGAAATAGCTGCAGTGCTGTAAGATAATCACAAATTAATTACAGTATTATTAATACGAGAAAAATTAAAACAAGTGAGTAATTATGAAACTTTAGATGTGCAGGTGTGAAATAAAAAACTAAATAAATACACAAAAAAAATTGTAAAGGATAAAAAGAACCAGACGAAGGAAATGAGAGTCAACCTCTTTCGCAATTTTCGCGGAAGAAAGGAATCACTCTGTTGAATTGCGTGGAAAAATTTGTTCCGGATGAAAATTATTTGCGATATGATGATTAAGAGTGCAGATTGTGTGAATTCAGATTAACTTCATAGCTGCATGACAAGCGCAGCATTATTTCGGTCTTGAGGCCAACGACATCATGCACGACACCAATGAAGCAGTTATTTGTGACGGGTCAAGGTAACCTTCACGGACTGACTAACAGCTCTCACTCTGGTGTAAGAAAAACCTGTAAAGGACATACTGTAAAGAACGGAATTTTTGCCAAATTGCGTTAATCTTAAGTATGCGCGAAATTGCATTTATCTTAAGTATGTAAGTAGAGAACTAGGAGATAATGAAAGGAGGAACTGAGGCGAAACAGTTTCATCCGCAGACTGAGGGGTCCAACTTTAATTAATCGTTCTAGAAACTGTAGCTTTGTGCTCATTGAAGGCCTCAAGGCTTCAGAACCACACCTATTCTTGAAGCTCGCAACCACAAATATCAAACATAGTCAAACATCTGTGATACCAATCAGTCACAACTCTAAAAAAAGATTGAAAATACACAGTTTCGTAATATGTCCTTTGCGAAGTAAAACTTAGTTTAGTGGAAGTGGTATTCAAAATTAACCTCGTTTTTCCCTTTTACTCCAGAATGTTGGATGGTTCTAGAATTCAGTTGGCATTTATTGTGACATAGCTCCATTTAACGTCATGTCCGTTTTGTTACGGCATAATTAATATTTCCGTAAACAACTGAGCTCAGGGTAAGGCCGCCTTTGGCGAGAATAAACAGAGATGTGGAAAGTTCGGGAACATGATAAACCCTAATATGATCACGATATTCGTTCTAATATCCTAGCTTTGACATCACTTTCACCCCACTTTTTCATCTTTACTGGGATTTCTGAGCGGCTATACGAAGTAATCCGGCTTCATCATTCGTAGTAGAACAGAATCTATGTGGAAACGAACAGCTCTTATCACAGACAAGGTCGAAAATCAACTTTAGAGCAAAGGAATCATTTGTTTCTTCATGGTTATTATGGTTATATTAGAGATCTTGTTGGTGGGCGAATTCAGTTCCAATTATAGTAAAGGGATTGTGTAGCATACAAGCCACACCTTTGCTTTCTGATATACCAAGGCCTATTCCCACAGGGCGTGAATAACGTCTCCGAAGTTGCGAGAGGTTTCAGAATACAGTGGAACTGCTATAGCCCCGGATTCCATTAAGTAATGATGACGGGAAGCTCCGCCGCTCGACCAAATTGTCGCTGTGTAATTGAAAATATTCTTTTATTAAAAGTCAGTCTGTAAAAAACTGGGAGGTGTTGAAGTGTCTTAAAGCATAACAAAAAAAAACCAGATATTAATCATTTTGAACCTCTATATTTCTTAATGCCACAATTTACGGACGCAATACTTCCACTGTTATAATAAGGGCTTGCATTATGGCCTTGGAAACCGAGAGACAAATAAGTTTTTGTTTGATAAAATTAGAAGAAACCACAGAACGTGATAAAACGCCTATCAAGAAACTCACTTAGGCTGGGGTTCATTTCCAATTTGTCAAGAATTATATGGTATCTTGTCAGAGAATATTCTTTTTACACAAAATTTTCAGCTGTGTGGCAACACACCGTTCCATTGGGAAACATTTTCGTGTGAATCCCAAAATAACTTTGTTTGCTCCAAAATAATCACAAAATCTTCCTGTCCATTATATTATTAGTGTCGCTGAATAAGATAATAAGCCACGTAGGTCCGGCTGAGCGACTGATAAGGTTCAACTGAGGGCTGTGATTCGCTCGATTTAATATTAAAATACATACAAGTTGTTTGCTTTCCCTTTATCTTGAGTCGTATATGGTCTATAAATATTCATTTTAAAACATCTTGCTTTCCCTTTACACTGATTCCTGTAACGAAACTGGTGTTTACCCAAGCTGTCGTTGAAAGCGCCAGAGAATAAATTCAATGCTAAAATGGTCAAACAGTTATTGATTCCTCTTGAAAAACCATAAACCTTAAATGCGACTAACTGTGAAAGAGCGAATTCTCTGTAGCTTGTAAATAAAATAAATAGGGACTAGTTAGCATCACCGGCCATTGGGATTTCTTTGCTGTGTTTTGTTTTCTGAAAAGCTCGAACTCTTTGTTCGAATAGATTTCGAAACCTTAATCACATTTTATTGACAATCTTTTTCCAAGTAACCATAGGTTTCCCCATTCATTTCTCTTTCGCTTGCCGCCTTAAACTGCCGATTGAGCAAGTTTCGTCGTATTGTCTTCAGAAATCTACTTAACGAGCATTTCTCGATTCGTTGTTTTGACATATTCTGTTCGCTCCGAATATTTTTTTAAATACTGTATAAATTATCAAAATGTTATCTGTGTGCGTTTGAGGTCCACCGCTTCTGTGTAAAATGTCAACCACCCTGAAACGAGCGCGAGTGAATTCGAAAAAAAAAATTACAGGCATCTTCATTAGTTATGATAACTACCGTTTATCTAAACATGAGTTCATGACCCTGAAGGGAATTACCAGAGAGATGGAGTAAATTCATGTTCGTTGCTTGCTACAGAATTCAGCGGAAGTCCGCGGTTACAATTACGGCGGTCTTCCTTTTATAAGATTGTTTAATTGTAAGGGAGGATAATCTCAGCTATGATCATACAAGACGAAAAGGCACAATGCTCTACATATGCAACAATTTTGCTGTTAGAAAATTCGAAAAAAAAAAAGACACAAATCAAGAAACATCTAGATAAGTTATCTGGTTATTGTTTGTCTTATGCAAGGTTCATCAAACTCCCAAAATATCTGTAATTATTACGTCACCAAGCGGTAAACGAACAAGTACCTTTTTTAGAATTGACGTCACGCAGTGAACACTCAACACCTATAAATGAAACGCTAGACAGCTCTGACGTCTTTATTGAGAAGTGAGAGTTATAGGAAGCTGATACAATAAGAAAACGTACTAGTCAGCCTTAAAGACATGGTTCTTCAACGGTGTCTTGCTTGTAATTTATTGGTAAGTGACGAGATTAGTAGTGAATGATCGATGTTTTTCATCACTATGCTAAATATAGCTATATAGTTTGAAACCTCTTTCTCTCTATTTTTCGATCTTGAACATTTTAACTGGGTAAACCGATTCCAGAATCATTGAAAACAAGCGCGAAATGATGACGTTTACTTTTTGTCTCGGAGTTAGCCAACAAGAAAAAAAAAATTCTGCTTTAGTTTTCTACAGTACAGTTTCGTTGCTTCGTTGAAAATAATTTCTTGAAGGAATTGCTTGCCACAGCTAGCTTCAAGTGAGTCCAATGTCAGACATCATTAAGATGAGTGTGTTTTTGAATATTTTTTTCATGAAATGTTCTTAACAGCTGTTTACTAGAGAAATACTTTGAACCTTCCCAGACTGCGATCAAACTCTATTCGCCAAGAAAACGTCATATTTGAAAAACAAAAGTACAAAAATTAATGAAATAAAAAAAGGAGCTAGAGTGAGGTTGTTATGATGAATTGATTCTGAAGAAGACATATCACGGGGAAAAATAGATAGGAGCAGTAAATTTTTACTGATAGGTGTCAATATCGAAATCCACGTAATGTCTTAAACAATAATGCATCATATACTTTGCTTCTTAGGAGTCACAATTATCTTCGTACAGTTATCTCTAGTTCCCCTTAAATCAGTGCTGTCTTTGTTATGTCTTACCGATGAAACTAACTTATTTAGGTGTATTTAGCATTTTTTTAGATCTCTCAAGGATAGTTATATATACATCAGTAAAATAACGTAACACAAGAGATTATAATATTACGATCCCTTGGGTATTTTGATGGGAAATCTTCTGATCGTGACTTCCTCCATGTGGCTATTGCGAAAGAAAACGTTTTATGATCCTTCCTTATTGAGGATTAGTTTCAGAGGTCTTTCCATCTCTCAAATTGAAGAAATATCAAACACCGTGTTTTAAATCATCATTTTTTGCCCTAAAATATCAATGTGCCTTGATTCTGATTTTCTTGGGTACTAATATTTTCTACTCGACAGAGCTAGACAATTTAAAAAATGAAGTTAGAATCTTAAGGGCCGACTAACCCCTTAGGGTTACAGCAACTTACATATTTAAAGTGGCTCCAATTCACGTTTTACGTGCACATTTCTTGCTAAAAGTCGATCTGATTGATGCTTTTCACCAATTTTCATTACTTATAACATATATCGCACTTTTAATTTTTGGTCTGCAAAGGGCCGCAATTCTTTGAAGGCCTGTATTCAGTTGAAGCGTGTGATCGGAGTCTTACGTGTATTGAGTTTGAGCTTGAAAAGATCGCATTAAGCGATTTTAAAAAGTGATATAATATATACACAACTTATTAATTAGAACTTACTTGAGCTACAACTGACTTGATCGGTAGATAACTGGATCATCAAAATCATGCGTGTGTGGTCACGTCTTTGAGGACACGTCTCGTCACATTGGAGGAAAACGATATTCAGGTATTAAAACAATGTATTCCCTATTCCAGATTTTTCTTTTCCGAAATGACTTGGATGTGTGGTTAAGCCTGCGAAAAAATTTAACTTGTTCCAGGTCTTCAGTTGGTAACCAAAATCTTGACTATCTTGTGTTCAAAAAGATTCTAAAATTTCTCTGACAGTGATTGCGGATCATTTATGAAAAAATATCCCGTGTTTGTGACACCGCCATAAGGCAGTTTTTTTAAAATGTCTTGGATGCCCTTAGGTCGTCTCTTTTAATAATAATTCAATTTCTCTGGTTTTCTTTCTCATATTTTGGTTTTACTAGAATACCGAGCCATGTTGTATTCTCGACTGGAATTTAAGAGACAGAAAAGAGAAGCCAGGGAAAGCAAAAAGGCGAAGGCATATCAACAGGAACCATCAATGAAACACAAGGTAACTGATTGACAAAAATTCTGATTGGCTTTTATAAAAAAATTATTTTTTTCGAGACTGAGAAGTCACCAGCGTAAACGTAAATGAAATTCCCCGATGATAGGTTGCAGCAAAATGACTCTGAGGCGATATATCAAAACGATAGGCTCTCGGTGAGCTACAGTCACTCGTGAATTTTGAACGACGGGAACTAATAACGGAACTGGATTAGCAAGTCAGTCCTACTTCCAAGACATAGTTTGAAATTCTCCTCTTTAGTTGCTGTACATATCGCTTGCTTTGAATTAGTTTAAAGAGTTTAAAATAATAATAAAAAGGTTAAACTTTCTGACTGACAAGTTTGGCTGCTGTTATCACCTGTTTTCTGGGTAATTTATTGACGTTGTGACGGAGTATATTGCGTTTAATTAATGATTCGTCAATTTTAAAGGATAAAGAAATTCCCGGTTTTAGTTGCAAGGCCGCTTTTTGAAATTTCTTTCTACAGGAACAAAAGGCTGTAACAACGAAAAAATCCCACTTTAAACCTGCAAGGCGACGAACAATAAGAAAAAGAAATTCAGCGAAAGGGAAAATTGGAAGGACATCATCATCGATAGTGAAACAACATCCGGTCAAGAGCACGGAAGTTCCAAAAGAACTGTTGTCAAGATTTCCTGTTGCTCTCAAAGAAATAAACCGAAGACTTCTGGGACAAAATATGGTATGGATAGCATTGTGCAGTTGAAGAGTCCAAACTGTTTGAGGCACTGGCACGAAAGCGAACTAAAATTCACGCGAAGGAAAACAGTCTTCAGTGATGCAAGAAGACCTCCCGAAACCTGCCGTTTGGAACGCGTGGCAAGGATATGAAAATAAAAGCGCTTTGAAAACAGGAAGTCCAAAACTGTATGACACGATTCACGTTATTGGGCAAAGTTATTAACAGGAAAGGGAACATCAGAAATTCCTCTCTGTAACAAAACGTGAAGCTATTTTGGTTAAAGACTTCTCTTATCTTTTCAGGGCTATTTTAGAATTTGTAAATTTCCATTTTTATAATATTGTATTTCATCCAAAAATGGCTTCGTATAGGTGAATACCTAAAACCAATATGTGCCCAATAACTCAAGGATTTCTTTAAAGGTATATCACTTCCAGAGACTCTCTGGAAGTGATATGCCTTCATCACATTTTCGGAAAATGTGATAAAGTAATCAAATAGAATTTTGAAGTGTTTTATCAGTAAAACTAATATCATTCAACAGAGGCCCATATCAAAACATTGTTATGCAAAAAGTAATGACGAGAAAGCGAAGTATCAGTTAAGCAGGATACCGTTTGATGCAGCACTCGTAATCTTTTCTCGAAAGTAAAATTATCAGAACTGTCTTACAGACAAAAACGAGAATAGATCCGTAGATTTGGGGAGTGAAAGAGTCAACTTATATTTCTGTTCACTCTTTTATAGCCGATCTTTTCATTCTCTATCCACATTGGTTTCCGATAAAATTGAAGCTGAATTGACTTCGTGAATTTAATATGTGTGTGTTGTTTTTTTATTCTGGTTTTTTTTTTTCGTAAATGACGAGTTGGTATCAATATCACCATAATTGCTTATGGTTTCGTGCTGGGTTATTCCCCAGAGAAAGTGGAAAATGAAATGTGTTATTGTTAAAATCTGACTGGATTCCAACTATTTCGCAATATCGCAAGACCATAACCACAACTAACTCTTTTACGCAAACTTGGTCATCTTTACAAGTTATTTATTGGAAAAACAGCGTAACAAATATACGAGAAAAGCAACACTAGATTGAGATATATATATATCTTAAGTATTATTATACTGTACGTAAATTTCTAGATTAGTTTGTAACTTTTATTTGTCAATGAACCTCATTTTATTGACTTGAACTGAATTCAAATACCATAGGTTGATTTTACAAATTATTTTGTTTATTATTTCACATTTTATTAGTTAATTGTAGGTCCACATCAGCCTCATGGCTGGCTGCCACTTTTGTAACCTGCATCACTAAATAAAATGATTGATTGATTGATTGATTGAGGAGCAATAAGTAATCGGAGATCTCTTCTAATTCTTTTCACTACCAAAACATCTTTCTATCGTTATTCCTTCTCTCTCTTTCTAAACCAAGTTACTCTCCACTTTTTCCGCCGTCAAGCTCTGTCTCCTTCCTGAGCGGCTCCTCTTTTCTCAAAATAGAACGATATTGGGAACTGAACTAAGTTTATCAGATGTGAACTAATATAAAAATACTACAGACGTTTGATGGAGAAAAAAAGCTATAAAAGGACAACCTTGCAGTTGAAACATCAAAACAATCCGTTTAAGAATTCTTATAAAATAATGTCTGTGGTCCAACTAAAGTTGGTTCTTCCTTTCAGGCGCTGACATCTACTTTGAAATGCTTAGGTATACTTTGAACATCGCTCACAATGCTATTGTCTTTCGCGACATGTACTTACAATGCCCAGTTTATCAAGACGCGGCATAATAATTTGCATAAGAGATTTAGCTTTGAGAATACTTGAGTCGCTTCGCAGATTTTACATTTCGCCTCTCCGCTTCAAAAATTTTGACTAACATCGAAGCGAGCATCGCGAAGTAAGATGAAACATTTCATAGTTACTAGTTACTCACCCAGGAAACGAGACCCTTATGGGATATTCGCCAAGTCAATTTCAAAACGTCATCGGCGCACTTGATTACTATTTATAAAGTAACAAGTTCATTATTATACACTGGATAATACGAATTCTGAGAGACATTTCTCGGAGATTTGTTCCATGAAAAGAAGCCGTGAAATTCTCGTCCATTCGTCATCTCTAAGAAACGCATGTTAGTCCAATATTTTGTTTGTCAAAGCCTATTTTTTGTGCATCTATCAAAGCATTAACTCCCCTGCGTTGCTATGCAGCGTTACGGATTTAAACATGTTTCTGCATGTTTACGTCAGAGCCAGATTCACCGGTCGTAAATTTTGTATTGTTTGGCTAAAAAAAATCAGTAGGCGAGACCCGACTACCTCCTACAGATTGGATGTAATACTGTTGTGTTTATTTTGAGCGATCATTTTTAAGTGTTCACTGAGCTAAATCTGTTGGCGGTTAAAACAACGGCAGAGTAGGGAAAACTTGATGTCATCGCCGATATTGGGTCGCTTGCCGAATTTAAGAATTACCTTAGTTCATAAGCTTAGAAAGAACGTGCCAAGTTGTACAGTTAATTTTTTTATTCTGTACTGTACTTATTGTAGCGTGCAATTTTTCTTTTGCATTTTGTAAGTGGTTGGTGTGTTGCCTAACCGGCTTTCACCGACCTAATTGAGATGATGAGATGATGATGAAGTGATCAAAAAGCTATGCCTAAAAGAATTTACAAAAATTACCCGGCTATGATGGCGTTAAGTGTTTGGAACAGGCTGTAAGTTCTGTAGCACCGACAGCATAAATATAGGAAAAAGGACAAGTCATTTAATTGAATCATATCTTGTTTGAAAATTTTAAGATCTTAGGAAACAATGAAAAAAACAATAATGAAAATCAGGGACCATTACTTAACACTCTGCAATCTAGCTACCATGTGTTTTGTAAGCCTAGATTCCTTGTACTAAACCTATTACCCCAGGAGCGAAATGCAAACCTGTATGAACGGATCGCTTGGGCGATCGCTTACGTCTGTTGTAATTTTGTATTAGTCAGCATTGAAATACTTTTGAAATAATGTCCGATAGCGTTGTATACTTACCTTCAGCAAGCTCTACCGAGAGTTGCGATACATCGTACTCAAGTTGTAGAGAAGAAATCGAAGTTGCGAGTACAATTCAGCCCTACGAAGGAGAACCGCGTGCATCAAACGAAGATTTCGACGAAGACTGACAAACACGGTTTATCGCCTGCGGTGTTCAGGTCAAGATTAGAACAAAAAACTCCCGTTACTGAATGTTTAGTTTGTCGCATTTGTGTTTTGTTTTCTATGACGAAATATCTTTAAGATTGGGTAGCTGTGCTCGTTTCCGTTGCCATAACATCTTATTCCATCGCACTAAATGCAGCGAAGATTCCTCTTGGTCTAGAGTTTCGTTGCTGCAGAGTTATTCTCTTGGCAAACCAAAAGCTAACTTTTGACGAAAGAATCAGCTGTATCACGAGGCACGATAATTTTTCGCCGAGAAGTCATCGGTCAATTTCACTGCAAGTTGCTCCTTTCCTCATAGATTGCCAAGGCAGAGGAGATCGTCGTCGATCCGGTCAAACGGAAAACGAGTGAGTTTATAGTCATCTGATTCAAAACACAATCTCAAATAGGGATTTTAATGGAGAAAAAATAATTAGTTTAAGTGCAGCATTGGCATATGACCCATTTCGCTCAATGGCAAATAACCGGACATCAGTATGAATATTTCGTTTGCATCAACTTTCACACAGCACTTGGATTCGCAACCATCCAATAACATTTGTGTTTCTTTATTTATTTCGTTGCAGTGCTGTTATCTACTCTATCTACAAATAAAGTATTTCTGTTATTAAAATACGATAGAAACTACAATTGGTAGGATTTTCATACGATAAGAAAAGCGCAAATGTAGTCATGTGGAAAGACAAGGAGTATGAGTACATCTTGAGCGAGTGAAATAAACAGCTATAAGGTGCTAATGCACCATTCCTCGCTTGCGAAATGTCAGCCGAAAAGAATGTTGAACAATCGAGTACGGTGTGGGAACAGGCCCCTTAATCAGCATTCTTTTTAGCTGAATCCATTGGTTATCTTCCCCCCCTGATTTGACTATTGGTATGTGTTCTTAACAGCCGTCTTCGAAGCCGGTACGGAGCATAAGGCAGACGACATTGAAGAGTAAGATCTCCTCGATGTCGATGATCGAAACGCGTCCATTTTGGCCATACAGCTACATTCTTTGGAAAGCAGTATTTAAAAATACCCGATATGTGTGTTTTATTCTTGTAGCGAACATAATTTGACGCTTCAGCCACGCAATACGTTCATCCTTTCTTCTCAGTAGATTCCTCCTTTCTCCACCATAGTTGCCGACGTGTCTTCATAGTTTTCATCGTCACAGCTATGTTGCACGATCATTTTAACCGCGCGCTTCAGAATGGCGACACTTTTTGGGCGCCAAATCTTATTTCAATGCACAAAAAAATGGTCAACGAGAACTCGCTAGGCGCTGAGGTCGATTTTTTCTAATTTTAATTACTGCTATCAACCAGAAATGCAAAACAAAAAAATTTCGCGTTATAAGCACTTTAACCACAACCAGGCCACAGTTCCGTTTTAGAGTTCGTCTTAGCTTTGCTATTTTAACACCGGCCTTATTTAATAGTGGGCCACAGTGACGGGGGTAAAAACCCACGTCGGTCTAAACTGGTCTCAACCGCCGATGCATGTTTGCTTCCAGATAATTAGTAACGCGTCATGATGTGTCATCACAGGTCAGTCAAAGTACTGCTATTTGTGACACTGACGTCATGAATGGTTACCCAGTTTTCACGCGGCTTTGCATAAGGTTAAATAGAATAGGATAACCAAAATATTTACGACTTGAACGTTTCCAAGCAGTGAATAAAGAGCGACGGAGGAGAAGGCTTGAAAACTTGATTCATTATGGTTCTTCAACAGTGCCTCGCTTGTAATAGTTTGGTAAGTCCCGTCACATTCTCGCCGTGATTCTGGTTTTGCAAAATCGAATTTTTGGTCGTTGCTTTTGAATTAGTGTGGAAGTCGGTGATGTGAACATTAATTCATTTCTTTGGTCGATTAAATAAACAAACTGGAAATTTCGCAAGATTTAACGTCAGGCTTACGAAATTTTCCAAAGCAGTCTTATAATTCGCTTAAATCCTTTAATCGATATATATTTTCTTTGCCCAAGGTGCGTACTAAACAGTAACACTACCAACTAGGTACAAGCCGCAAAATAATAACATTGATTTCCGTACGGATATTGCCTGTTAAAATGATACCGGGTCAGAAGCTCCCAAGAACTATGCGGAAGCCGACAAGATTCTGGAAGTGTTATTCCAGTTAACTGTAGAGGTCGGAATAGATCAAATAATTTCAGAGAAATTCTTTCAAACTTCCGTTTAAAAGCGACCAATGCGTTTAAGTCAAATTTTGAATAAGGATAGGATTATTGCATGTAATCAATTGATGATCACGGTTATGGTGATTTTACGTTCGACCGAGTATCTGATGCAGGGATACGACTGTTTTAGCGAAGCAGTCTACTCGATCTATTCTCACGAACAAGTCTCTATTCCTCAGATTACAGAAACATCAAGATCATGTGTGTGTGGCCACGTACTAGAAGATGCGCATCGCTTTATCGGAGGCAAACGTTTTTCAGGTACAACTGAATAACATTCTTATAAAGTGCGAGATAGGACTTACGAATAGCCATCGGATAAATCAAAAGCTCAGGGAGGTTTCGTTTTTGTTTAATAATCTGGAAAATTCTTATTTCTCTCCATCAATTTGTTCAGAATATCGAGCAGAACTTTACTCTCGTCTGGAGAGCAAAAGCAGGAAGAGAGAAGAACGTGAGATCAAAGAGCAAGCAAAACTCCAGCTTGGAAGAAAGGTATTATTTCTAAATATGCGACATGAGGAATTATGTAAACTACAGTATTGTTTATTTTCCGGATCTATTTTCTCGAAATCTCGAATCTCGGAAGACGTGACAGTCACCGGAGACGTGAGGTGAGCTCTGTTAGGAGGTCACGTTTCTACTTCCTTCTTCCTTTTAAGGAATATTATCACGGAATTAGTAAACAACCAAACACCGCTCCAGCAATGTGGGCATAAAATCTCTCGCAACTGGCAAATAAGTTAAAGGCAAGTTGTTGTGAGTTCATTTGGTGTCAGACAGCATTGCAGCTTACAGAGTAAACTTTAGCGCTTGTTCGAACATAAGCATCTTACATTGTGTATCGCTAACTGTTTCCAAGAAACAAAGGACTGAAAAAACCAACCACAGGTAATTTACAGCTGAAAGATTTAGATTTTACGGTTTTAAAGTCTTGTGAGCCAAACGAATGAACGAGAGTTAGATGGATGATCGATAGGTGATGTATTTTGTGTCTTTTATGCTAATCGAGGACAAAGTACAGTAAATACATAGATTTAGTGGTAATTGCGTGGTGTAAATAACTTGTTGAACATTTTACAATCGCTAGGAGGAGCGTCGTTGTGTTATTTGAAAAGTGCAGTGGACTTGAAGAGTTCGCTGCCGAGGAACAAATTCATCTGAGCGCCAGAATGACCTCTCGACTTCAAATCCATTTCCCTAAACCGCAGGTCACGCTTTTCAAAAATGTAAATTAACTTTAATCGTCTTTTCGCAGAATATCATGGCAGGATCAGTGTCAGAACAACCAGGATTCAAACCTCCCGTGAAAAGAAAGCCATTAGCAGCAAGGAAAACAAATAAGAAAAGACGAGTGAAGAGGGGAACATCTCGATTGCAAACAGGGCAGTCCGCAACTAAGCGGAATGATGGCAAAAGCAGTGTACCACCGGAACTTTTGTCAAGGCTTCCTGCTGCTCTGCAGGAGATTAATCGAAGAATACTGGGACAGAACTTTATGTGGTTAGCGTTACAACTGGACTGAAACAAAAACTCTTTTTCCGGCTTGCAAGTACAGAAGTCTGGAAAATTTTATTTGAAGACCGGAAGATGAATGCAAGGTTTCCCTAACGGCTGAATCTTACCAAGTGGCTTTAATAACAGGAAGACATCGTAATGGAAGCAGAACGTGAAGGAATTTTATGGTTTTGACCTGGAAAAGGCGGATGCGAAAAAGAATTGCTGATAAATAACCTATGGGCACAGAGCCAAATACAAAGTCATATTTTAGCTATAAAGCTTTCAGAGAAAACTGCCGGGGAGGAGGTCGATAGCGAGCTGATTCTCTCCGCAAACGGAAGAATCTTCGATTAAGTTACGCGAACAGGACCCACACAACCTTTTTGTTTTGTTGTAAAAACATAGCAAAGATATTATTATGAACTTTTATTTAAATCATTTTTATTGAGGAAAAAATGTAATTTCTTTGTAATACAAAGTTGTACAAAAAGAGAGTGATTGAACATCAAAATATCTTAAACCCAAAATAAAATTTCCATACAAAAAAATACCAGACGGGTGAAATAAAACCATAACCGTAGACTTCACTACATACTTGACCGATTCCTAATCATGTCACACTTCTCATAATTGTTGCAGTAATTCGTAAACCAATCTCAATCTCTACACTCTTTGCCATAGATTTCTCATAATTTTAACTCAGAGAGTTTGGTGTTTGAACACATTCTTTCATCTCATCACCTTTTTTATTCTGAGGGGAAAAATCACTTATTGGTCACAATTGGGAATGAAAGGGTTAATTTTTAGCGTGAAGCGGTTCATATAAAGCAAACAAATATTACGTTAATAATCCACTTTCTGTTTCACCTTCCTCGGCAAAAGCTCAGCAATATTGTTTTTTTACCATGACTTTTTGAACAAGTTACTACTTCAAGTTTACGAAAACCTTGGTGTTCGTCTAATGAATATAAAACTTCTTACTTAAATACTCGATTTAAAAAGGTACTGCTTTATTCGACATGCAATTCTTACATGTCAAGAAAAGGCAAAGCAGACAGAGAAGCGAAGCACGCGCAGCCGACTAGTTAAACGAGTTTTTTTTTTTAACAGTACAAAGTAACCAACTGTTCAAATATCGTGTGATATTTGTACCCGATCCACACGTTATTTGCTCTCTACGTAGTGCAGTTGAATAGTACTTGGATTGATTAAAAAAAAATCCCCTGAACTTAATTTTAATTTCATTTATATTTTAAACCCTTTATCGTATCGTTACTGTGTGAACAAAACATTACTGTAAAAATATAGAATCTTGTATGTCTACGACGGATGACCCTTGAAATTGATAAGGTTAAATACCTTTGCTATAGGTGTTGTTATATCTCTGACGAAATTCAACCGAATTAATTGAGATATAGGAATATCTTAGAATGGATCCCTCCGTTCAGTGTCGACCTCGAGAGCTACATCACCAATCCGTTAAAAGTCATCCATCTCAAGTCTTAACCAGTGGATGCCACTGAGCGATGGGTTTCCTCGGAGTTGTCATCATACAGTTCCAATGATGTAAGCCAATACTTGTCTGTGCATCCGGTCCCACGATCGCCTTGCCAATAGTTTTGGTTTGCGGTCGCCTTCCGTCCTCTGTGTTAGTGTCGAGCATGCGCACCAGCAAGCTAACATCACTCAGGCGATCGATTGGGACGTCGAATACAAATGCCTCGTTGTACACCGGAGCCAAGGTGTTTTTGGCCACAGAGGTCTTTGTTTTCTTTAATTGTCGACCGCTCAACATCAATGAAACTTTGACAAATGGATCTAAAGAAAAAAAAGAAGATAAAGGATGGAAACAAATATTTCATATGTCATCATATGAAAATGGCCAGCGTACAAAGAGGCTCTCGATGGGGTTAACCGTTAGACGTAAAACAGCCAAAAGAATTTAGCCGTTTGGCGTTAAAATTGTCAAATTTTTACCGTTAGTCGTTAAAAAAAGTTAATATTAATCTTTAGCTGAAAATGTTAGCTGAAAATGCCATAACTCCCTTGAGACACTTGACGATGTGCTAACATCTCAACCTGACTCATAGTATTGCAGGACGGTAATTAAAGAATCCGTTAGTCTTTTCTCTCTCTCTAACTAAGCAAGAGACTTGGTGCGCAGTCAGCAGCTGTAATCTAACATCTTTATAGCATTTCTAGATGACTGTCGAAAGTTGTTGATATTGGTTGACTTTTGCTTCATTGTTCTCTCTGATTGGTCTAGAATACTCGTGTCACATTCTCAACCAATCACATTTAAAACTAACATCAAGTACGACCTGGTCACTCGCGTTTTTCCCGCGCTTCAGCTTCATGCAGTTCTCATTGGCCCTTGTGAAACTGGCCTTTGTTATAACTGGATGTTTCTGGCGATTATTTTCGTTTTGGAGAACGCTCTCTCATCAATGCCATTGGAAAATTAAACTTGAAAATCATAGGCCGACCCAATTCAAGTTTGCTCCAACTGATATAAGTGTCATTCACAACACTCGAGAATCAACTTGCTTGGTTTGTTGTCGTTTACATCTAAAAATCTGTTCCTCGACTGATTATTTTAATTTGTCAGAATTAGCGAACATAAAAAAGGTTCACTTGAGCAGCTTCAGCAAACTCTTTAAAGGTCTTTAAGCAGCTACATATTTTTGTAAAAGTTTTTATTTCTTGTTCTTCTTGGCGCATTGCAGTGCACTGTATTGGCCTTTGGCTCATATTGTGTCCATAGCAATTTAAATTCTGAGTAAATATTGACAAAGGGCGATTTATGTTAAGGTTAAACAATATTTAGAGTGGTTATTCTTTTGGCATCGTCAGAAGCAGATCGTTATTTGGCAAATAACATTTTTTAAAATTGTCGAGACCATTTTTATTGTTGTTTCTCTGTATTTAGCCCTTACGCTAAAAAAATTGTAAAAAAAAGTTTTACTTTAAAAGCAAATGTCGCCAAGAGCTTTTGCATGGGATTTGGCCAATAAGTTAAATATAATACTGATAATAAAATCCATACACTTTGCACTAAGACAATTTGCTCTTGTAATAAAGAATATATTGTAAAATTCTGCTAACGGAGAAATTGTGAAATCTGCTTTTGTCATTCATTCAGAATTTTCTAGTTTTCTATCGAAAACTATGAAAACATTATGAACGGCTTGACATAACAACTACCACGAGTGCGTATTGTTTTCCGTTTCGCGAGGCGTATCCAAGCACATCCAAATCTAATTTGAATTGGAAATTGGGCTTTCGATGAGTAAATATTCTGAATTCAGAATGAAAACACATCCGATTATTTTCCTTTCGTAATTTAAAGAGGTGTTTATTCAAAGGTAACGCAACACACGAAGTACAGTAAGTTTTTTAGATACCGATGGAAACCGAAATATTAAGGTTTTGAAATTTGTATTTGGTTCAAAGTACAGATGGAGTGTTAAATATCTGTACAGCGCATATGGCTGAAAAAACATCCAACGATTCAGAGGACAACGGAAATACATTTGAGTCTTTCCAACCGATCGAGGAAATTGATATTCACGCGCCGATTGTTGGTTATGAAGTGGTGGAAGCGAGAAAAAGATTCACAGTTTATCAGATCTTTGTTCAACTTGGAGGCGAGCGAAATTGGCATGTTTTCCGAAGATATTCCGATTTTGTCCGTATGGACGAAGCATTAAGAAAGTTATTCACGGATTTTCACGCTACCCTTCCGCCTAAAAAATATTGGGGCGATAATTTTGACCCTTCTTTCATAGAAATGAGAAAACAAGGTTTGCAAGAGTACATCGATAATGTGTTAATAAGGCAGGAAGTTATTACCTCGCAACCGGCGGCGGAGTTCTTCTGCTTCGACGATCCGCCCGGACCTTATGACAGTCTTGAGGAGAGCCGAGCATTCATTGAAACGTTGGAAGACACAGTAACCGATATGAGAACCAGGCAAAGTGAACTACAATCGGAGATTAAGCTGGTCAAGTCACAGCTTCGCCAGTCTCAGGCTCAAAAACAAGCCTTGTTGATAGCTTTGCGCTCCGAACGCGTTTTGAACGGAAAGCCATCACATGATGACGACGATGCGCAATTGTTGTCGGAATATTCACGGCTGCCGGAGGTGGCACAACTTGACTTTAAACTCTTTTCGAGGAGTAGCTCGAGAGTTAACGGAGAACACTCAAGGCAGCAAACGAATCGTTTGAGATCAAGCCGGTTTCCAACTTCAACAGCAGCAAGTCAGTGGGACATTCGAGTTGAAACCACCGAAGGGTTGGCAAAGCGAACATCGCCTTTTACGGGCAGGCGAACCCAATCTACTTCAGATTTAACACATTCACAAAATTACAGAAAGCGAAACGTGTCACATTTGCCTTCGAAATCAGGCAGTCGTGGCAATTTGACTTTGTTAGACAAATTCATGACACAAAGCACAGACGCATTGCAGTTTATAAGGGACAGTGTTCGACAGAAATTAGGGCCAACGGAGAACACCGAATCTACTGCCGCAACTAACAAATGAACTGAAAGCAATTTTCAGTTCCAGTTCATGTTGTGCTGAAAAGCGAAACATTTGATGCAGAGAGAGAATCTTTTTGAAATCCTTATTTAAGAAATTTAAGGAAAAAGAATCCAGTACGACCGGCCAATAAAATAATTATTTCGGATATTACTTAATTTTCATAGAACACAACAAAATATTAACATGACCGACAGTGAGGAGAAACCGCAGAAGTTATTTTTAAGACATGGAGATTTCAATACGTAATACGGTGTAAAGAGATCAATTACATTTATTTTAAAGATTACAATACTGAAAGTTCTACACGGTTCAGAACGGTTCAGAACGGTTCAGAACGGTTCAGAACGGTTCCTGAAAGTGGCTGCTATTTGAAGTGTAAAATAATAGATTCTTTTATGGCCACAGCATCCACAAATGCCAAATAAAAAGAGACTAATTATTCTTTAATGCAAATATTCAGCTCATAAAGAAATCAGTAGACTAGAAAAATAAAATTTGAGATGTCTACGTGATGTGGATTTTGTTTGCTATTATTTTCCCTGAAGGTGTTGTATATTGATGAAGACAGGACATAATGAAGACCTGTATAAATGGAGAATCTTGCGCAGAAACAGTTAAGCTCAAAGCCTCTTTTGCAAGTCCACAGCTGGTTTTTTTTTCTTTACTTAATTTGCAGGTGTAAATTCGTGGTAATGATTTGAAACTCGAATAAATTTCTTGTAAACAGAGGCTTATTGGCTTTGGGGAAAGCTTTAGGGGTTACAAAAAATAAAAAATAAAAAAAGTCACTTCACAAATTGAACACTCCAGCTGAGCGGAGTTCCATTAGTACTTAATTCTGCATACAAAGGCAGTTCCCTGACTTTGGAAGATAATTGCAAGCAGGTTAACAAACAGCTCGAACAGAGAACGAAATCGTTAAATTTGTTTGAACCAGCGAAGCACGCATGAATTCCGTCGAACAAAAGACCTGTGGCGAAGAATTAATACCTGTATAGATCTGACAAGACACTATTTAAAATTTAAATTACTGTCTCTACCTTTTAACAATCCATTTACTTTGCACGGAGAATACCATTTTATTTTCAATTATATGCTAAAATAGCCAAAGACTTTCCTCTAATAGAAGAAAAAAGGTTTCGGTAAAATTTCCGCACAGCCCGATACTACATTATACATTCAGTTCTTGAATAGAGAAAACAGTGACAAAAACAATACGTTTCCATTGGGAAAACAGATTTGTTTTACAATTGTATGGGGCTGTACGGAAACTTTACCAAGGTTTCCTTCGCGTTCTGTCTTAACTGGAGTCTGAACCACCTCGCTCCCGAGCTGAAGGGAAACTGTAGAAACGAGTTTAAGCTCCATGAATGCAATCGCGCACGGTGCGTTGTCCTGTGTGAATAATTGCATTTTTGTGACAGCCCTGCACTTCAATAAATATAGTCAGTTTTCAATTCAAATTCTAGCGTGCTCGAACAGCAGAGAAGACTACTCTTTTAAATCAAACACTAATCTTTTTCCAACTGAAATACAAATTGTACTCACGTGGCAAATCATTTGGAAATGAAGTTTTCGAAAGCCTCGCTTTTAGGACAACAAATGTGAGTCTGTTGGTGGTGGGAAGGTAACAAAGTGACACTAGCACCTCCCCTGCACGGGATGGACTATCCTCCTTGGTATGGAAAGAAGAATAAAATCAGTGTAACGAGAATGAGCAACACTTGAACAGACTTTTTTTTCAATGAAAAAGAAGAAAAGTTCGATACTGCGAAGAAAAAAGCATAGTTAATGGAGTTACAGAAACTTCAGTTCTCGAAAATTTCTGCTCGTATTATGGTGCGAACCACAAACAAACCACAACTCGGACACTTTTCGTCCCAACTCAGTGATAACACGATAAAAAAAAACACATCGCTCCCGGGTTTTTACCATGGAGGTGTTATTATGAATTAGACTAATGAAGCCAACATCCACACAGAAAATTGGTCCTATTATTATCAGTAGGGTGGGGCTGTCAGTACGTAGGCGCCTCAATTCAGTTTGTTTGCTTTAGATATTAGCTTCAAGACTGGCCATAAAAATGAGCTAACAAAATGAACATCTCACCTTTAACAGAGACGAATCTCTCATGATCTCTTTGCATAATGCTACTCCTCCGTACTCACTCAAATGATCATTCTCGCCAAACGAATAAAAAACTTCCCCTAGGGATTGATGTCGCGAAAATCCATCGTAACTAAACACACAGCACTGTAAAGTGCGCTCAGCAAGTTCCGAAAACGCGATATCAAACACGAATTCTTCATTGAAAAAAGGATTGCTATTAGAGTAGTGTACTTTAGTCTGGTGCTTTTCAACTCTGTCGGGTAGCAAGTACAATTCCACGTAGCTCGTACTGTGAATAGTCGGCAAACCGTACGCCGCTAACACCAACACTCGTAAACATTCCTTATCAGTATCGTAGTTTATGTTAAACTCCAACTTTCCAAGTTTAAGACTTTCTTCGCTGCTGTCTGATTCATTAGCAGACATTCGGTTGTTGTTTTTATGTAACCACGAATCGAAGTCGATTTCGGACACAGAGCTGTCGGATCTCATCAGAGGTTGATGCCGACGTTGTCGGCGACCTTTTTTAAAGTCTTGGTCGTCCGGGCTTGACGCACGTCGCACTGGTACACTATTTGACGACGGTTTTCTGGCGACGTCGGTCTTAGTTCCGGTCTTGGATCGGAACCATAGAACCTTATACAACAATATTATAAATATTGCTAATAAAAGCACAGCACAGGTGGCAGCGAATCCAATAGCAATCCTGATCTTGACTCTCTCCCCTGCAAAATAAAACAGTTGTTTGGTTGCCTCTTCATAATTGCAAATCAGAAAGAACTAAGTTTATCACTCAAGCTACCATTCTCGAAGACAGTCAATTTCTGCTGCAGTTGAATACAAGATACCGAGGCTTCGTCATTATGAACGTGAGCGGAATTTTCATTTGGAACTGAGTTAATTGATGATCGTTCGATCATTGATATCAGGAACATTACATTCCGGCACGTTTGAAGCGAAGACGTTCAGAAATCTAAATTCACAGGCATTTACAATGCTGGCTAAAACTATCAAAACTATGCAAAGCGTGGTGTAGAACAAACAGTCAGCAGAGGGAATTTTGACTATTGTGTAGGAACAAAATAAAGTTGAACAATACAGGTAGTCCCTACGATTCAGCCGTTACAAATGCTATGTACTCGCACAAAAAATCGTTTTAACGGACTTTTGTGAACCGTGACAAACCGGTACTAAAATTTATTCATCTGTCTTTAGATACCAAAACATATCAACATCTAACAGTCTAAAATTTCGCCTCTTTTTTTCTCTGAAATGACTGGCTAAATTGCACGCCCTTTATGATGTAACATTTCTATGTCTTCTTGTCTTTTAAAACAAAAGTTCGATTGTTCATATTCATTCCTTATTTACATTAAGAGGCATTGTTACTTATCTTGGCGGGAACTTATAACCTCTCAAGTTGGAACGAGCATATTCGCGGGACTATTATTTCCTGGTTTGGCCAAATACATACATAAAAAAGAACTGCATTTCACTAAAATTGTCAAAATACTGATATGCATTGACAAACAATTCGTCTACGAATTCGAAGAAAAGAGATCAAGTACAAGATAATTACAGTACGTGGTGAACTGACAATTCCGAAGCAAATACACCTACGACTATGGCTGAAGAAGCATTCGCGAACCCCGACAAACCAATAATAATCTCCACTATTCAGTATACTGAAAAAACTTTAACATGGAAAAATCGCTTCAATTCTAAATCAAAGAATACCTCTGGCCAACTCGTGCTTCAGTTAAAGTACTTAGTCTAGAGATGAAACATGGCTGTGATCTTGTAATTATTGGCCTTACAGGAATGCAAGGTTTCTCTCATCTCAAAAGCCAAGCTTCTGAAAAAACCACGGAGTTCCACAATTATATTTACCATTCAACTCCTCAGAATAATAAATGCATAAAAAATCAACAAAACAGCACAAAACAGTATCTTGCGTTTATCGAATTCCCGTTTTGCGCAGCGTCAAATTTAGGCGCTGCAATCCAAATCTTTCTTTGCCTGCGCCAGCCAAATTCCTCTATTCTATTTTTATGTCACGTTTCGCCTCACAGTCGCTCAATAAATATTGGCATTGCAACGCAATGATCTTTGTTTACAGGTTTTTCTCCTTCTTGCATCTGATAACAAAGCTTTAAGTTTTCTGCCTCGGAACAAAAATACTTCAGAATGCATTTCATGTGACCGCAATTTTTCTTGATTGATTGAAATTTGAGATATGCAGCAATGAATTCCACAGGTTTTCTTTTGTCACAAAGCACAAGATTATTTCTGTTCGCTTCTGATTGTCCGGCCGCTAATATTTTCATGAGATAATCGAATTTAATCACAGTTCTTGTTGTACATCAGATCATGAACAATCGAAGCGATTCACAGTAGTTTTTTGTGTCTGAACTCGAGAAATTTTTGTTCATTTGGAAAGTGATGTTTAAAGCAACGATGTGTGGTATAAACTGTAACAAAGCCTCTATCCTTTTATACTAGGTTGTAACACCAAAATGGTTTCGTGCTCGAGCGAGTTCATGACGCCGGCTAGTCACCACAGTATAAACAGGGTGAGGGAATGACTCATTTGCACATTAGAGTCCCCACAAAAACTCGTTTGCATGAGTTAAAAATGGCTTGGTTTTTTCGTAACAGTTTAGGTTCGATTTTTGACGACTATTCTAAATTTATAATATTCAACAAAATTTTTTCTGAAACAAATTACATTTCTGAACATGGCATTAATACTTTGTTTCGACCTCCGTGTTTGGGAAGAAATTTATGAAGAGGCGGAGGGCCAAAGTATAAAAAAACCCAACATATGTGGGAAAATTTTGTGAAAAATGTCCACATTATGTACCGAGTGACTGAGTATGAGCACCGAAAGAAAAAACATTTAGTTCGAGGTCATGACGTATTGACCAAGAGTGAGTTATGACCAAAAGCCGCATAATTTCCCGTCCGGCTTGATCAAATTCAGTCGATAAGTATTCCTTATGACCACTGACCTTTATGTTTGAACCTAAAGATATGGCGCGGTTACAAACTAGAGAAGAGCGCGCGCAGGACAACTTCAAAAAGGATTCTGCAATGACAACTTTTCCTTAATTCCTTCGGGTCAAGACGAAAACCGCACAATTCATCGAAAAACGAGGCTTATTTCCACATTACTACTTTACTTTAGGTCCATCACAGAAATTGATGTTCTTAGGAAAATATAACAGAGCTAGGTGAAATTTCCGCACAGCCCCATACTATTTTAAAACAAATCTGTTTTCCCAATGGCAATGTATGGTTTTTGTTATTGTTTACTCTATCCAAGAACTGAATGCATAATGAAGTATGGGGCTGAGCGGAAATTTTACCACAGAGCTGTTTCTCATTATCTTGTTGGGGCCAAGCTTTCAAAAAGTTATATCCTGAGTGCAATTTGGGCAAGAAGTACGAGATTGTTCATAAAAACATTTCAGATCTATGCAAATGAAGTCAAACTGGGGAACAAAATAATAAGGGATTTGTGATTCTTGGAGGAATTCATTTATTTTATTTTCCTCCAAGTTGAACAGCAGGACATTAATCTATTGTTAATTTCACCGCATGTGACCTTTAGTGCTGGTGACCTTTTCGAAAATCGTTCTACATGGAGGTGAGAACTATGCTTTGCGCTGATTTCCAGGAATGGTCAGTAAACAAGGAGGAGCGTTAAACCCTTCTCAGACGTGAGACAAAGCAATAAAATCACGTAACGCCCAAAAGAATTCGAACTTCGACTTTTCGATCTCGCAGTCGGCTGCTTTAATGACAGAGCGATTGACGAAGGGCTAACGCTCGAAACGTCTGCTTTTTAAATTCTTTACGGTGGCCAATTTACGTTATTAACTCAGTTGATAATTCTAAATTACCCTGTTATTCCCACTCATACATCTGGCCGCCCTTCAAAAGCTTTTGTCCTTTGTCCTTTCGAAACAAAGCACAAAGAAGTGTATCATCTTTGAAATATCTCAAAGAAATCTAAAAGTTATTCCCCTGATGGAATCATTCTTAAAATTTTAGCCGAAGTCACATTATTTCTACTGACCTCCAACCTTTTCGAACCACTTCAGACATAAACCATAGCATGCAGGAGTGATTTTTTAATTAAGCCGATGGAGCGAATCCTAATGGGGGATTGTTCATCACAAACAACAAAATTACGTATGCATTATGGAGACCTGCTTAAATGAATAATTAACTTAACGTGCAAACCAAAAGGTTCATAATGTGTTATGTTCCTGGTTTATTGAACAACTCTTACCATAATCTATGTTGAAAAGGATCGAAGTCTTGCAGAATTGAGTTAGACAGTATTGATGGTTTGGTTAAATTTCGGACGTGCCATTTGCTATCTTAATCGATTCGAAGTTTCAACACTTAGCAGTCGACCTGTTGATAAGATACTGCTCACGATAACTTTTGAAGTTTAACCAAGTGAGGTACTTTCTTCTCTGAGCGGTAAATCCAACAATTACCCCATGATATAAATAAAAGAAAGTTTTTAAAGTGATAAAGTTTAATCGATCACATCATTTGTCGGCGACTTATTAATTCACTGCGCTTTAAATAAGTTATCTTCTTTGGGTTTCAAACCGGATAGATACTTCAAAAGGTAAGCGAAAACATTGAATAGCGACAAACTCGAAACGAAAGGCGAAAAAGAAAAATTTTTTCAACCGAACCACTAGGGATAAAATTATACCTCTGAGAATACTTCACGATTACACTTAAAAGAGACTTAATCGTGTGACGTACGTTTAAGAGTTTGAAGTTCCTCTACCTTAAACAGATTTATTTGCATGTGTGGCTTTATCACAGGTATACTAACCTGAAACGGTATCTTGTCCATTGGAACCTTCATCATTCACGTAATAATCCAATATTTGGCGAATTTTTTCGCTCTCGTCGGCTTCAGTCATCGAGTCTCCTCACGTAAATGCAAATCTTGGGAGGTTTTGTTCCTCATTCGTCGAAGTTCGCTATAGCCGTTTAATGCGGGCCAAATAAAAGCTCGATCATCTGTTTCATGTTCTAACCTAAGGGTAAAGCGTGTGTAAACATGCCACACACTATTCGGAAAACGCTGAGGAGCAGAAGCAAAGGAAAGGCCGAGGTGTAATTCCTCCTCATAGATTTGTATTCATCACTCCGACAGGTCTAAATCCCGCTTTGTCGTGCATGAGGTGAAGGGAACAATACATTTTTCGAATCCTTTCAGAACCGTCGCGATATGAATAAACATGTGCTCTGATTGTCGTTTCAAATACATTATCTCAAATAACAACTACCTGCTCGGTTGAATGACTCACAAAAAAAATTGGTTCTAATGGAACAAACCTGCTCGAAAGAAAATCTTGCAACTTCTTCTTCACAAACTTGATAAAAGTTGGGAAGGAACAACCTTTTATAATGCAAAGGGAAAGGACAAAAATTTAGCAAACCAAAGGATTGAATAAACGTGAACAGTGGTGGGTCACAACTGTTTATTCGTTAGGGCAATACACTGAAATTTCGAGAACTCCTCCACTTTTCTCAAACTTTCCTCATGAACAATGGAAACCAAAAATATACTTGTAGTTAAGGAAACAAAGCTGCGAAAAAAAATAATTTAGCAAATTTGACAATGCAAAATGATCTACGTAACTTTTGCATAGGGATTACATAGAGTTTCCCGACATAATGCCTTTTCATTCTCTAAATCAAGAAGGTGCTTGAACTGAAAATATGCGACAAATAGAGGTATTTTTGAGGCATGATAAATATTCAGGTTGACAGTGGTGTAAAAACGTGCTTTCTTTTACGTTATGATCCTCAATGCGATCAAAGGAAATTTACGTCTACAAACACAATACTGACTTTCACTTAGCACGACTAGTATTCGCTTCTTCTAAGTGGCGGTACTTATCCCTCTTGCAAATAGGTATTATATGGTCGATGTATTTATTAACATTATTCCTTTCGTTTATCTTGATTTTTCCCACATTTTGTAAAATCTGAAGGGGACATAGGTAAAGAATGTTGCTGTTGTTGTTTTAAAAACAATGCTTAAGCAAAACTCTAGGGCAAACTTAGTGTATTTGGAGTAAATTCGAACATGAAATATTGTAAAAGGACGTAAAAGGTTAAGTAGAGCAAACAATCAACTTTTAATGATACAAAGAAAGCGTTTCTTACGGCGCAAACGCAAACTGAAGTATTAAGGAACGGAATTGTAAGCTAATGACCCTGAGTCTGACCAATTGTGACGGTTGGAGAGCTCAGAGTAAATCAAAAGTGTAAACTGATCAAAACCACTGGCAGTGAGCCGGACAACGAGACTTTTCAGGTTATTTTTTAAAATTGCAAAGCACAAGTTGATGTTTGTATGTTTGAATTAAAAAATGATCAATTGAATTCTGGCGGCGTTGGAACGCCATAATTGCCACTCTACGGTATCTACCTTAAAGGTGAAAAGGACGCTTGGTGGATTCTTCACCGCCAAACTGAAAAAATCGATCACTTTAACGTTATCTCATTAAGTGTCAAGAACGTGGTTTACCTCCAATCATTGATCCTATTTCCTAGAGCAGTCAACTGTCGCTCACATCTTTCCTAGAACTCTTAAATCTAAGCAGCTGACGAGCTTGCCAGTTTCGGCGTCCTTGGTCTGAGAAATAAGTTGGAAATAGACGTTAAGAGAAGTTTATCTTGTTCTCGTCCGGCTGATGTTTCTGACTTGTAAAAGTTGACAACTTGACTAAACGTTTGCCAGTTCACAGGAAGGAAAACTTAAAATTTCCGTTTCCGGTTTGGAACTACTTTCGAATTCCTAGCATTCCCTGTTTCAGTTGTGTCTCATCAGCAAAAGCTTGACAAGTAATATACCTTATGATCTGTGTCGACCACATTACCTTCATGTAAAAGTTTATTTGATGTCAAATGTCTCAAGACATGCTGCGATTTACAGCCTTAAAATAAACACCGTTAAAAATCTAAAAGCGGAGGAATTATGACAAAGATGGCGCAGAATTGAAAATATATTTTTAACCCAGCTTAACAAGAGGAACATTGAAACTCGTCATCATCGATTTTAGAGAGCTCACATCATTACCGACAGGCGCCGTTTTCTTCCCTACAGTTACACGTTTTCATTTACCTTTATGGGTCTTTCCTACCAGTTGACTTAAGTCACGAGAATTCTGGGATCTAAAATGGGTAAGCACCGACAAAAGTATACAACTCGACCCGATATGAATGACTAGCGTCTTAATGAATTGAGCGCGAACCATTCCGAACGTTGGGTCTATGAAACAAACAGAGTTAGTTGCTGTAGTACCTTAGAACACGCCCTATAATTAAGGACAAAAACAAACGTTCCACTTCGTTAACACTAAATTTTAAGTCTTTGACACAGTGTGCGGAAACGAATTAAGACGAAAACGAGAATTTAAAGAGTAAAAATTACCGCAAAAATTTTTCACTTTTGTCGCTGGTGTCAACACCTATTTTGCAAACAGTATAATTTACACCTGAGTGGATGAGAATTAGAGACCTGAGTGGCGGACTCGCGGCGCTAAAGAGCTGTAAAATGCCAACAAAGGAATAATTTCATAACGAGTGGACTGAAAACAAACATCTCCGGTGTAGTTGATAGAGCATCCTTGAGTCATCCATCATGGAGTTTTCAGTTCATTCCGCGTCTAAAACTCAGCCCGTTGAGATTCCTGTGGGCAGTATGCTCCCTTCAGACAGTGAGCACAGCGGAAGTTATGTCTACACAAGAGCCAGCAGCTTTGACTCGGCTCTGCCTCGAATAAACGCCGAACTTCATCTTCCAAACCAACAGGAACCGAGTAAAAGCTTCTCAGAGTTTCCTGAACTTGGTAAACAAACGAGAAAAAGTGGAGATGGTTTAGAACTACCCGACGTCCAAGGATCTAAATATTTGGTGTCGTTTTCAGACTTAAGACAGCTTGAGAAAACTGACACAACAAGGAACTTGGATTTTCGCGAAAGATCCTTAAAGGTTTCAAAGCTTCTGCAAGATCGCATTCGTGTGCTTGAGAACGAGTTACAGAAACAATTAACAGCTGTTAAAGAAATCATTCATCAAGCAGAAATCGTACAAAAACAAGAAACCACTACATCGCGAAGTGGGAAAAAAAGGCGCGATAAAGATTCAGCAACTCATAGACAAGGAACTGAAAGACAAAAACGTTCCGTTCAGCGGAAAGATTACGAGATAAAATCACGAGAGTTCACTGGAAGGCGACTGCAGAAACCAAATAGTGAGTCCTCCATAAGTGAATCCGCCGAATTCCGTCGATCTTCCGCTGAAAACCAAACTTGTCAAGATGCAAACAAGAAGCAAGACGACTTGTTGGCAACAGAAACTAAAGAGAACCATGGAGTGTCTAGCCTAGAGATGAGTGAACAGTCGACTCAGGAACACAAAGATGTCAGGTTTTCTGATGGAGATGTAAAGCCTGTTGATACTCTCAAAGGTCATGGGTTACCACCAAAAGGTATCCAAAAACAGCGCAAGAGCGATACCTCGAAGCTGGCAAATTCGACTAAAGCTGTCAAGAAAACCATACGAAAACTCTACAAACTGAACAAACAAACAGAGGCTGAGAACTTGACTGACCTTCTGGAATCTAAAGTTATGACAGAAAAAGAGCTGAACAAAGCAATCAAGCGGGAACTTCAAGAAGAAAGAGACGAGAAAAACCGTCAAAAGGCGAGAAGTATCGAGAGAAACAGACGAGAGACTTTCTTTCAGAGAATGGAGGAGCTGGAGAGGTTGGAGGAGGAGATGAGAGAGAATAGGCTGCGTGAAAGAGAGAAAAGACGGGCTGAGGCTCTACGACGACGAGAGAAAAACACTGCGTTTTTGAATGAAAAGCAAAAGGCTATACTATCCGCAAAGATATCACGGGCTTTTAAATTCTCCTATTTCCCTTTGTATATACCCGAATCAGGGTCTGCTTGTCCTGACTATGAGCAGTCAAGCAGTGAGGACAGCGACAGTAGCGACAGAAGTCTTTCCCGCCAAAATTCGACATGTTCTTGTATGTCATCGAAGAAGAAGGGCAAAAATCGAGCCATCTGCTCCTCACATTCTGAGCAGAGCCGAAAGTTAAGTAAACCAGCTTGAACCAGTTGGCTTGTTGGAAAAAAAAAAAAAAAAAAAAAAAAAAAAAAAAAAAAAAAAAACCTGTCAGTACAACCGGGTCCAATCAGAGCAAGCATTGTTTTTAGCAATGATATCTAGAATGGCGCTCAAGGAACTGAGCGGGAAAATAGGAAGACAACACTGAAGAGAAAGGAAAACTACACAGTAGTACAAGGGTTTCATTAACTTTTTCCACAGGCAGCTGCCGATGGTGTAATAGGCGGTTGTGCCTAGAAAAGGAGTCGCACAGCGCATCCTAAATACGAGGGCAAGCTCACAGGCTAAACAGACGGTGATATGAAGTCTTCTAGGGGGGTGCTAGACTGCTGATAACCGGGTTTTATTAAAACTCCTGGTAGTGCTGCGGGAAACACCTAAGTCAGTAGCAGTGCGAGTAAAAATAGGCCTATCATAGCGCTGGAAAACCTGTATCCAACGACAAGCGCAGGAAAGAAGAAACATGATCCTGTTTCGCGCGATAACCGCGGAAAACAGGAAATGTTCAGCAAGTTCGGCAATTACATTGATAACCCAAGAGTCGAGTACAAGGAGTATAAAACTGTACATCGCACTTCAGTTAGTTTTATTTCACTGTACCCTAATTTTTGCGGACTAAATACAAGCATCTGCGCTTGGAACAATTGGAGCATGAGCTTAGGTGAAAAGTGAACAATGCATTCCTACTCACGTGAGTCATGTAAGACTGAACATTTTTGTATATAGAGCTCAAAACGAAAGGGTTAGGAAAATAAATGAAGAAAATACAAAGAAAAATAAACAATTTAAGAGCACCATTGAAGGATTTTCACTGACTTCATCCTTAGGTGATCTCTTACGACGCAAATCTTTAAACGAGGTAGAGTCACTATCCTGACTACAAAGTCACGGTTGTAGATCACTTCGTGCTACAAGTGCCGTTGTGGGTTCCCTTTTTTCCCACCATGTTTGTTACCATCTACACGACTTGCTTTCGCTTTTTCTTACTTACCTCCGAAAGAAAAG